CATAATTTGATGTCAGAGTTTGTTAAACATCTCAATTGTATTATTTTTTGTATTTCCAGTTTTAGTTCTGTTGAGACACAAGTATTTTTTAGGCACTGTGTGTTCAGTTTCCAGAAGCCTCTAGTGGAAGGGGCTCCGGAGGATAATGACGTTTGGACCAAAAGATGATCCGAAAAGTTATTAAAGATTGTTTTATAGTTGGTTACAGAGAAGTGTTTCGATACATAAATCCTGTCTATACGGGTTTTAGTTGTTTTGTCATATCTCCTGAAATCCATTCCAGCGGGATTCAGAGAGCGACAGACATCGATTAGGCCTGCATCGCTGCAGATTTCTTTCAACAGCTTTCCTTCCACCCTCAGTTTAAAAACAGCTGGACTACACTTATCTATGTCTTCTGTTACTGTATTAAAATCACCACCTAATATCATTTTATAACCCACTGTTAATAGCTCTCTAAGTTTTCTGAATAATTGTAACTTATTTTTTGCCTCAGGGGCAGTATAAATATTAATAAGTCGATATTTTTCATTTTTATAAAAACAATCCACCATAAGCAGCCTTCCTGGGATTATGTCCCTTCTTCTAATAATAGTGATGTCTTTTTCTTTGAAGAAAATGCCAACTCCGTCAGCTCTACTCTCTCCGATGGATATACTTTTGCCTTTATGCCACCGTTTACACACATCATCAACATCACTGGTGGTATTCAGTCTATGTTCCTGCGTAAAGAGGAAGTCATAATTAGTGTCTAATAAATATTAAATGTTCCTCTCTCGAAAGTCTTTATACTGAACACCACGTACATTCCAGGTAGCGACATTTAAGAAGGTCATATTGGTTTATAAAATGAATCACTATGATGTATCTACATTTGCCCGTTTTTCATTTTGGTTCAAGTTCCTACTTGCAGGTCTCTTTTTTGAGACCTCAGACGGGGCTTCCCCCTCAGCCTCACTCGGGGGTTCTGGAAATTCTGGAGTTGGAGAAAAAGACCCCGAGTTGCTCTCAGGGGGCGAGTAGAGGGGCATGCTGACTCGCTGACCAGCTGCAAGGCTGTCAGGGCTGGAGTCAGATCCTGGGCTTTCGCTCACACTCTCATAATATTTCTCATCTTCAATCTCATTCTCAGAGCTGTACTCGCTCTCTACATCACTATCAATAGATAATCTACCCTCACCTGACTGGGATGGAGAATTGTCTTCAGGAGTTGAAGGCTAGATCTTCAGGGAGAGGGAGATCCTTGCTGGCAGGACGACGACCAGCCTGCTGCTGGGCTGCTGGGTTAGGACCAGGACGACGATCAGGCTGCTGCTGGGCTGCTGGGTGAGGACCAGGACGACGACCAGGCTGCTGCTGGGCTGCTGGGTGAGGACCAGGACCAGGACCAGGACCAGGACCAGGCTGCTGATGTTGATCAGAAGGAGGACCAGGCTGCTGCTGGGCTGAAGGGCGAGGACCAGGCTGCTGCTGGGCTGAAGGACGGGGACCAGGCTGCTGCTGGGCTGAAGGGTCAGGACCAGGCTGCTGCTGGGCTGAAGGTCGGGGACCAGGCTGCTGCTGGGCTGAAGGTCGGGGACCAGGCTGCTGCTGGGCTGAAGGACGAGGACCAAGCTGCTTCTGGGCTACAGGACGAGGACCAGGCTGCTGCTGGGCTGAAGGACGAGGACCAGGCTGCTGCTGGGCTACAGGTCGAGGACCAGGGCCAGGCTGCTGCTGGGCTGAAGGACGAGGACCAAGCTGCTGCTGGGCTGAAGGACGAGGACCAGGCTGCTGCTGGGTGGCTGGAGGGAGTACAGGACCAGGTTTCTGCTGGGCTACAGGACGAGGACCAGGGCCAGGCTGCTGCTGGGCTGCAGGACGAGGACCAGGGCCAGGCTGCTGCTGGGCTGCTGCTGCTGGGTGGCTGAAGGAGGACCAGGCTGCTGCTGGGTTTTTGCCTTGTTTACATAAGAAGATGGGCAGTTGAAGAAGGTGTGCCCGATCTTTCCACACAGGTTGCAGAGACTGTCTGAATTGCAATCTTTAGCCTTGTGGCCCATTTCATTGCATCTCCAACATTTCACTGTGGTGCATTTTCTGACCTGATGGTCAGCTGAGTTGCAGATGAAACAGGTGACGGGTTGCCCTGGATAAATTATTCTCCCATTATAGGGGCCGAGAGATATCGAATTTGGGAGATTTTGGATCTCACCATCACAGTTTCTGTTCCTCTTCATTTTGTATTTTCTCACTCCATACCATATCCCAAATGTATCTATTGGTTTGTATTTGCTGATTATATCTCCATATCTCTTCAAATAGGTCTCAACATCATGGTCTGGAATACGGCCAGTCCAGAATTGAACAATGATGTTTGAGATATCTATTTGAATGGAAGATTCAAAAGTCCAGTCTTTCCACTTGGGATCTGAGGTTTTAGTTGCGAGAACATCAAGGAAACGTCTTATATATTTATTTTTTTTTTTCACCCTTTTTCACCTCCTTCCTTTCCTCTTCCAATACTTTTCGAGTCTGTTGGATCAGGTCGTTCAGAACGAATAATCAAACCGTCAACTATACTTAGAATAATGTTTACATTTTCTATCAGATTATTCTTCGATATTTAAGAAGAAAATCCCTCCTCTTCCTCTCATTTCCGGGTATCGTTATGTCGGCTCGTTCAAATGTCCTCCTTTTCCCCTTCCAGACATTTTTGACAAGTTGACTCCGACTAGCGACAGATTTTAAATCTTATCTGTGGACGTAAAGGAGAACCACATGAGGACCTTCACTGACCACGGTCCAGCTCGGGAACCTTCCGCATTTGTAGTACCTTTGGTTGGTTAGGGTTTTTTGTTTTCTGGTAACTTTTTATATTATTATGATGTATTTGATATTAACGAGGCGGCAGTTAGCAGCTAGCGGCTAGCTAGTAATTACGCTAATGTACACATCAATCGTTATGTACTTATATTACGCTGTAACAGGATCTAGTGATATCCAACAGAGCTTCATTTAGCATGAAATAATGATTGCACTGTATATATATATATATATATATATATATATATATACAGTGCAATAACCTTGCTAGTGCAATACGAAGCTACAGGGACGTTAATAACGTCGGTAATATTAACTTTATTTAATACAACATTTACGGTACAAGATTTAATCATACAGCCCATGTATAGTATGATAATGAATTACAGCAAACATGTGCAATATATCCATTATTACAGCTCCGTGGGATGGCAGTGAGACGATATGGGTCCTTTCTTATTGTGCATCCATGGGTAAAGGTAAACGCAACTCACATTGGTTTCTCAAACAGCATCTCTATAAACTACGTGTATTCACTGAATTTCACTCTCTGCCTTTAACGGCTCGTTATACCTCCAGCCCCCACCCTCCCTGTGAGCAGTGTGCTCTGATTGGTCGGGACCATGCTGAACACGTAACCTGAACGTGCCGGCGGCGCGGTCCCGTGGGTTAGATGCGCGTTCATAATGCAGAGGGAAATAACACTCAGAATAACGTTATTAGCACATTTTTACAACTTGAGGAACGAATGTTTTTAATAAGGGCTATACAAGTGTTCATACTGGGTAGTTTATTTAGTTTAAAAAAAATTATCCAACTATTTACAGACCACTCTTTCCCCATGTAAGTCAATGGGAAAAAGTGTTTCCGGGCCTGGCAACCAAAAGGAAGTGTAGTACCGCCGTTTGGCCACCACGAATATTTTCATCTGAGTCCGGCGCACTTCCTGGGGTCTTTTTCGAGGACCGAGGATCGAGCGTCGATCGTCGAGGAGGCTCTATGGAGGAGCTATAGTCGAGGATACACTGATGGGTCCTCCACGGCTCCTTCGTGGAATTATTTCCGGGAACAGAGATGTTTCAAAGAGTTGTGACGCACTGCCGGACTTATCTCAGCCAATGACAGCTCTGCATGCATCCCCTGGATATTATTGTATTAACAGCTGTGAGGTCCGTGCAGAAAGCAGAGCAGTGTGTAAAATATATATCACTCAGTATAACAGGCCTACATTACTCTCTGTATTTGCTGTAGTTTAGTAGATATCTACAAACAAAGAGTCGATATTTTTCTAAAACCATTTAGTGCTTCACATAATAAAATACACAACGGCTGTAGCCTGTTAGCTGTAGGTGCGTGTGGTACAGTGTGTATGTGGTACAGTGTGTATGTGTGTGTGTGTTGTACAGTGCGTAGATGCAGCGGACAGAAAGGTCTTGGTTGGTTTGGTGTCCTCTGCTTACTTTTAATACTTGTAAATACAACTTTTGGCCCGTAATTTATTTCCCTCATTGTAGCGACCAGAGAGGGGGGGGGGGGGGGGGGATATCCAGTCTCTGATAGTGTTACGTTATTATGAGAGTGCTCCGTTTGATTCTGAAATTGTATATATTTATATAAATATGTGTGTGTGTGTGTGTGTGTATCCCCCGCATCTGTAGCCTGTTATTGTCTCATTACACCGCACTGTGAATTAATTCAAAGTAAATATATAAGTCATGAACACATCTGTCCATCAGACAGAGGGCTGCTGTGCCTCCTGTCATCATTAATGGACGTCTCTTTAAAATGACCGCTCAGAGGAGAGGAGTTCTCATTTCTCTAACGGCCTGCTGCTTCCCCTCCTCTCTCCTCGGCTCCTCGGAAATGAGAAAGGGCCCGGGGCTCCGGCACCGACGCGGTGGGCGTAGTTACCCTTCCTCAGATGACTGTGGACACGGCCGACGGGGAACTGGAGCCCGGCCCGGGAGGAGCGGGTCTTAGCCTTGGCTCGGGCCTTTCCTCCGGTCTTCCTTCTTTTTTTAAATGGCACCATTTTATTGTACAGATTTTATTACAAAATAAAATCAACTCGTGAATTATTTCGTATTTCAACAAAAAATAAACTACCAAGCAGCATAGCCAATACTGCTATTAAAAATAGCTCCAACTTTATCAGCTTCAATACTAAGGTGATGAACAAATTGAAAAATACATAATTATAACAAATATGATTTATTAATAAATGAATACTTTTACATTTGTAGATGTTGACACTGCATAAAGTATAATCATTTGTAATATTTGTATTCTTTCTATATCCCTAATAATCTTCAAAACGCTTTCTGGTTCTTTGAAGGCTCTATCCAGACTATCTTCTGGTTATTGTCTGCATCAATCCCTATTATCTCTTACAACAACAAAAAACAACATCTTGGACATAACCGCAAGACTGTAACCTCTTCACATTCTGTTGAGATTGTGAGTCAATAGCCATGTCTCACACATTGCTGTTTTGAATCATTACTATGTGGATCACAGTTGAACTGGATGATGTAACATGTATGCCATCTGCTGGAAAGAAGACGTATCGCTAGGTTGGCGTCGTTTGGACAACAAAAGCAGAGTGAAGCTCTCATACCATAAACAACCTTTGAGTACAGACACCATCCTGCAGAGAGCACACAGCCCAACAGCACGTTGTTGGTCTAGCATCATCTTACAAAACGTTTGCATTAAGACACTAAGACTAGCTGGTCCATTGTAAAGGTCAGTCCACCTTAAATGAGCAGTGGTTCATCAACAGTCAGTGGTTAACGTATACATCAGAATGACAAAAACATGAAACATATTGTCCACAGACAGATTTCTCTCACGTGTGAACTGTCATAAGACTTATTCATTTTCCTCTCCATCGGCTTCTGTTTCCATGTGTTCAGCTGAGCTGCTGATTGGAGGCTCTGCCTCTCCGTTATTTTCATTAAGCCGTGAGGACTGACGACCAACACACTTGTGCCTTTTGAAATGACCACGCCATTTAAATCTTTTGTCAAAACATTGCAGCTGTATATTTTCTCTCCTGTGTGGATTCTCATGTGTTCCTTTAAATTTCCACTCTCTGAAAAAGCTTTCTCACAAACTGAGCATTTGAATGCTTTCTCTCCTGTGTGGACTCTCATGTGTGTCTTTAAACTTCCACTCTGTGAAAAAGCTTTCTCACAAACTGAGCATTTGAATGCTTTCTCTCCTGTGTGGATTCTCATGTGTTCCTTTACAGTTTTCTTCTGTGAAAAAGCTTTCTCACAAACTGAGCATTTGAATGCTTTCTCTCCTGTGTGGACTCTCATGTGTGTCTTTAAACTTCCAATCTGTGAAAAAGCTTTCTTACAGACTGAGCATTTGAATGCTCCCTCTCCTGTGTGGATTATCATGTGTTCCTTTAAATGTATATTCTGTGAAAAAGCTTTCTCACAGACTGAGCAGTGAAAGGGTTTCTCTCCTGTGTGGACTCTCATGTGTTTCTTTAAATTTCCACTCCGTGAAAAAGCTTTCTCACAGACTGAGCAGCGAAAGGGTTTCTCTCCTGTGTGGACTCTCATGTGTTGATCTAGTATTTTTCCATATCTATAAGCTTTCTGACAGACTGAGCAGCGAAAGGGTTTCTCTCCGGTGTGGACTCTCATGTGTTGATCTAGTTTGTTTCTATCTCTAAAAGCTTTCTGACAGACTGAGCAGTTGAATGGGTTCTTTTCAGCACTACGTCGGGGATCACTGACAGATTCTTGTCTATTTTTCAGTGAGTTTGAGCCTGAGGCAGGTTCTCTGGTCTCCTTCCAATCAGCACTGTCTTCAGTGTCAGGTTCAGAAGAGTCTTCAGTGTCTTCAGAAGAGTCTCCAGTGTGGTCCTCAGTCTTTGGTTGTAAACTGCTCTCTGGATCTGAGTTCCTGGCTGGTTCTGGTCCTCGACAGTCCTCTCCATCAGCTTCTGTTTCCATGTGTTCAGTTTGTCTTTGATGAGGCTGAGAGGACTGAGGTTTCTCTTCATCATCTTCACTCTTCACAGGGTCAGGAGTGAAAGTGGACTTGGTGATATCAGCCTCCTCCAGCTCCTGAAGCTGCTCTCCCTCCTGTTCCTGCTTAATGTGTGGGGGGGGCTCTGGGTCCTCCTGGTCCAGACTGGTGCTCCCCTCCTGCTGGTCAGGGAGAGGCTCTTCTTTAACCACCACCAGCTGCTGGACATCTGCTCTGTGTATCCGAAGCTGAGGCTGTAAAACAGCGTCCAGTAGTTTCTGGAGTCTCTTGTTCTCCTCTTTGGAAAGAAACAGCTCCTCCTCGAGCTCTGCTATCGTTTGTTCAAACAGAGCAAATATCTCTTCATTAGCAGCAGTGAGTCGCTGCTTCTTCAATGACAGCAGCATCTGGACTTTACTCATGTTTCCTAGATCACCTTTCCCTGCAGACTCCGTTAAACACACCGTTTCTCTCTCCGTCAAACTCTCAATCTGACTAGTGTTGCTAACGTGTTTCCAGCTAGCATGCTAAGCTAGCTCCTATAGTCCGAGGTAAACGCTCCAGAAAAAAGAGCACAGAGTCCATTCAGAGGTTTATCCAGACACACAGATGATGGATCAGTAGAGCTGGAGCTCACACACACTTTCTCAGGAACACAGAGAGAGAGAACCGTAGCGACGAGACGCCGCATGCAGGGCTCGAGTTATGTGTGAGCCAATGGGAGCTGAGCTCCGGTCTTGCCTCTTCCTGATATATTTGATTTCTCGGGTCTTTGCAGAGGAAAACAAGACACTTCTTTGGTGTTTTAGAGCATCGTCTGCTGCGCTCTTCAGTCTGTGGGACAGAAAACAGAGTTTGAGTTAGTTAACAGAGACTTTGAAAACCTAAAACCTTTTACACCTTACTATTCTCTGTTTTTAGAAGGGCAGGGTATAGAGGATATAAAAGAGTAAATAGTATATGCCACATAAAAGGGGTTTACATCATGTAAGAGTTGGAAATATTAATATTAATTTAAGATGCAACTCAGCAATGTGTAACATTTTTTAAATTGTAAATCTCTAAGAAACATGGATCCATTCGAAAGATTTTACAAGCGCGTAAAGGCTTCGAACATTATGTTAGTTAATCACTATCATAAGATCTGATAAATTGTTCAGGCAATCTTTGAATTTTTAAAGACCCAATAAATTATGAAGAATTGTCAAAACCTCTCGAAAAAAACAAATGAAGAAGCCATGACCTTGAGCTTAAGTAGTACACCATAGAAACTTTTGACAGGTGACAATTTCTATCGTAATTGCATTTTTCGGTGATTAACCTCTTAACCTGTTAAGCCCCAAGCCTGTTTTTCAGGTCTCAGACTCGAAAATGACATTCCCAGAACAAATGACCATATATTTTCTTCTAAAAGGGTTAGATTAATAATCTTTTTTCTCAAAGCAAGGTTACACCTGTGAGTATGATGTAGAAGTGTCAGAATCAATATAGCTGTTTTTATTTTTAAAGTAAATTCAGATTGAACACAGTAAAACATTTTAATTATTGTGTCCCCGTCCAAAAAATAATAATTACTTATAGTGAAAACCACCCTTGGATGATGGTATGGTAGACTAAAAGCATTTGGAATCCAAACTACAACATACACTGAACAAAAGTGTTCGTCGTCCATAACATACGCCTGCCAATACCATAACCCCACCAACACCATGAGCCACTCAATTCACAACATTATCCAAACCCTAACCCTACCCCTAATTCTACCCCTCACACCAGATACTGACTGGATTTCGGACCCCCCCAGACCCCCCCAAGAAAGCAAAACTGCACGTTTCAGAGTGGCCTTTTATTGTGGCCAGCCTAAGGCACACCTGTGCAATAATCATGCTGTCTAATCAGCATCTTGATATGCCACACCTGTGAGGTGGGATGGATTATCTCGGCAAAGTTGAAGTGCTCACTATCACAGATTTTTTCAGATTTTTGAACAATATTTGAGATAAATGGTTATTTTGTGTATATAGAAAATGTTTTAGATCTTTGAGTTCATCTCATGAAAAATGGGAGCAAAAACAAAAGTGTTGCGTTTATATTTTTGTTCAGTGTATCAAGATTGATGCAAAACAAGTGAAATATGACCTTTTTAGACAGATTTAGCAAAATAAAAACACCTCTGGGGTCATTTGGGTGGATTTTCCTTATCTCTGGCCCCCCTTCTTCGATTTTGACATGTGACATCTCTTTCTGACCGTTAGAGCCAATAGAATCAAAGGGAAATCTCCCTGCACACACTCATGTTAAAAAAAGATGGCTCTTCGTACCCCTAGTTTTGCTCCAGAGTGAAGCCCCACCTAGTGTCAGCAGAAAGTATTACAAATAATGATTACCAAAACAAAAAAATATATATATAAAATATATTTTAAGATCAGGTTTAATCATCTGATTCGTCTGTACATTGCTGTTTTAGTCTGTGTTCTTCTAATTAGTGTCTACAGTGCCGTTTTGAGCTGTTTAGAGCCATGTGGGACAAAACCCGATCCTGCCCCTCCCTCTCACAGTCTAAGTGAACGGTGACTGTAAAAACTACACTGCGCATATTCAGAGTATTTTTCTATTTAATGTGTGTGGCAAAAAAATAATGACCATAGGGGCATAGTGCTGCCATCCCCACCATACGTCATCTCACATAATTCAGAATTGATTGGCTGTAAGTACGTCACGTGTGCAGTGCTGCGAAACGTCACGTGTAGTTTGAAGAGGAGACGAGAGAGCAGCATATAGCTAACATCACCAGCGATTAAAAGAAGTAAAAAACTGAAAGAAAATGAATGAAGTTGACCATTTACTGGAGCACACATTTGAGACACTTAGTCTCGGAGAGAAACTGGAGGTAAAGCGCCTCGGTGCCCACCATCCACCGGATTTCCAAATGGTCCAGACTGCGGGCAAAGTTAAACGTGGGTTTAACGCTGAGTGGTTTGCTAAAAATAAATGGCTAATGGCGAGCATCCAGAAGAATTCCCTCTTTTGCTTTCCTTGCCTGCTTTTTGGTGAAGATCAAGGTACTTGGTCGAGGACAGGTTACAAGGACTTAAAGCATCTTTCGGAGAGGACAATGAAGCATGAGAGCAGCAACAGTCATTTGGAAAATGCTGTAAAATTGGGATTACTTGGAAGGGTGAATGTTGCAGCTCAGATTGACAGCGCCTACAGACGCGGCATTGATGATCATAATAGGAAGGTGGAAAAAAACAGGTACGTGCTTGGTCGGATCATCACCTGTATTAAACTGTGTGGGAAATGTGAGACAGCACTGCGGGCCACAAAGAGTCGGCGGACTCTCTGAATCCAGGCATATTCAGGTCAATTTTCGAGACAATGTGTGAGGGCGATTCCAGGCTTCGACGGCACTACGAAGCTCAGCTTGTTTTCAAAGGGACATCAAGCACTATACAGAATGAACTCTTGGACTGCATGTATGATGTGTACAGGGAGGAAATAGCCAAGCAAGTGGACAACACATCATTTGTTGCCGTTCAGGCCGACGAGACAACCGATGTCTCCTGTAAATCGCAAATGGTGATTGTGCTGCGATACATTATGCCTGACCTCACAGTTACAGAGCGTTTTTTGGAGTTTGTGGAAGTAAAGGACAAAACTGGTGTAGGTCTCTCTAACAGCATCAAGGCTGTTCTGGAACCCCTGAAGCTGAAAGAAAAGCTAATCGCTCAGACCTATGACGGGGCGGCCGTCATGAGCGGTAACGTACGCGGGGTGCAGACGGTGATGAAGGAGACGTACCCAAACGCTCAGTTAGTTCACTGCTACGCCCACCAACTGAACCTGACCCTGCAGCAGTTCAGCAAGGATGAGCATCCTGAAGGTGTTTTTTGCAGTTCTAACTGCTTTTTCCACTTTTTTCTCCGGTGCTCCAAAACGTGTTGCAGCTCTTGCAGAGGCAACACAGAGACGCATACCACGGCCACCGGCTGTGAGATGGAACTTTAAAAGCAGAACTGTGAACGCGGTTTGGGAGACCCGAGAAGCACTGCTTCAGTGTATGGAGCATATACGCGCACAACCAGGATGGGATGCGGTCACCATAAGTGAGGCATACGGCCTGTCAAAGAAACTGCGGGACCGAGCATTTATGCAGCTCCTGGAGTTTTTTTCAGAGTTGCTAATTCAGAGGCTCAGCGTTAGCATTGTGTTTTGTTTTTTTCAAAACAAATTTAAATGATCAGTTAGATGAGTTTATTTCCGTTACATGGATATAAAACATTCATAGTTTATTAAATGAACATGCCCTCAGACACTGTTTCCTGCAAGATGTTGCGGTAGGGCCCGGAACCGGGGTCTCTCTGGCTTAACAGGTTAAGAAAATGGTCCCACTGCAACAAAGCTAAAATCCAATCATCCAAAATGGTCGCAGCGTGAGTAAGCGCATCTCAAGCTCGTCTGGTTGTTGCTGTTAAATTAGCTCTTTAAAGCTCATATCATTGATCCACATGATCTGAACCCACGAACATTTGTATAACATAGTAAAGCGGCTCACTACGGTCTCTGGATTATTGTATTTTTTGCATTTGCAACTATGGAGGGAAACATGTCTCTGCAAACTTTGTGGGACGCGATTCAGCAAATCAAGACCGACATGCTGACTCACATTGACTCAAAAATGGATACCATTCAAAGTAGCTTGAGCAGGATACACAATTCCCTGTCTAGATTGGGAGACCAGGTCAATTTGTTAGAGAAGCGTGTCGGGGCTAATGAGGACAATGTACACAAGTGTGTCGCTCGAGTCAAGCAGCTTGAGAAAGACAACTCCTTCCTAATGTCCAAAGTTGATGACTTGGAGAACCGGAGCCGACGTTCTAACCTTCGCTTCGTAGGAATCCAGGAGTCCGCTGAAGGCAGTGACATTATAGGCTTCATGTCTCGGCTCATCCCGCAGCT